ATTATGCCCAGGAAAGAGAAAATACAGAATATTCAAAGTAAATCCTTAAGATACAGCAATAAGAAATGCTAAGAAGTGGCAAATTAAATAGCTGATTACCCTCCTATCCAAATCCAATTTAATTCTGCTAAATCAAATAGGTAGACCCAATTCAATCTTCTCTGAGGTAAGATCAAAAGCTGACAACCCATTATAGGCTATTTCATCTGGAATGCTCCCAGATAACCAGCCTTTCTAACCACAAGAATGTTTGAATGCTCTCCGGTGGTATCCCTAACCCAGACCTAAGTAATAAAACTGAATATCAAACTATCTTAAGGCCTGGGCTTAACTATCTCTGAAAAGCAGTTAGGCATTTACCCTATGACGTAATCAGCACTTTCTGCTTTTAGATGAGGAAGACAAAGTAATAGAAGCTTAACATGGAATCCATCCAGGTATGTACACATCTTTGTGCACGTTCCAGGTATTAAGACCATTTTGAGACAGATCCGGACTCTCCAAAGCTGGACCACACCTGTCACATCTGGCTATGATAGACGAATTTGACATGTATAGCAAGTCACAGGCTGACAATCAGAATTTTGAACCACATGTAGTAGGTGGCTCTGCAGAGTTATATAAACGAAAACAGTACTATAGGATCTTGGAGGTAGAAGAGACATGGAAATTGTCCAACTTAACAATTTTACCGGAAAGAAGCTACACATGAGAATCAAATTCATCAACCAAATCCATAACTATGATAAATTATACAGGTGCAGATAAATTAAAAAGATTGTGACCAGATTATGACAGAACCAAAAATGCGGTGGTGAGATCATGGCTCAGCACAGCCTCAATCTCCCTGGCCAAAGCAATCCTCCCACTTCGGCTTCCCAAGTAGCTGAGAACACAGGCATTATTCACTATGCCCAGCTAATTTTTAAAAAATTTTTGTAGAGACAGAGGCTCCCTATGTTGCCCAGGCTGGTCTTGAACTCCTCAGTTCAAGTGATCCTCCCGCCTTGGCCTCCCAAAGTGCTGGATTTCAGGCATGAGCCACCACATGTGGCCTTAAAATCTATTTTTAATTAATAAATGGCATAGGTATTAGAAAAACTGATTAATCTTAGTGTTGAGATAGTCTTTGGATATTCTTTTGATTTGAGTAAAACAGTAAGGATTTCTGACTTAATAGATTAACATCTTAGTTAAAATATTGGCACAGGAGAGAGATCCAAGATGGCTGATCACTAGTAGCTCGGGATTGTAGCTCCCAGTGAAACGCAGAGAACGAGAGGATGCCACACTTTCAGACGAATTTTTGTTGCTTAGGGACCAGGAGATTCCCAGCAGAGGGGCCCCAAGGGTCGCCAGCTCGTCTCTTGTGGCCGGCGAGGTGGTTTTGCCTCGGGGCGGAGGTTCTTGGTGCAGAGTCAGAAAAGCGCCATCAATCTTAACGCTGCTGTTTTAGCCAGCGCAGTGGGTTGCTCAGATTCTGGCACTGGGAATCAACAAGTTGGACGTCCACTCAGAAACCCAATTATAAAGACGGAATTATAAAGACCACAGATGGATAAATCTACAACAAAAGGAAGAAAACAGCCTAAAAAGGCTGAGAATACCCAAAATCAGAACGCCTCTCCCTCAACAGGGGATCACAGTTTCTCATCAGCAATGGAACAAGGCCAGATGGAGAACGAGTGTGTTCCAGTAACAGAAGTAGGCTTCAAAAGGTGGATAATAAGAAACTTCTGTGAGTTAAAAGAACTTGTTCTAACCGAATACAAGGAAACTAAGAACTTTGAAAAAAGGTTTGATGAAATGCTAACAAGAATACACAATTTAGAGAGGAATATAAGTGAATTAATGGAGCTGAAAAACAACACGAGAACTTCACAAAGTATGCACAAGTTTTAACAGCCAAATTGATCAAGCAGAAGAAAGGATATCAGAAGTCGAAGACTAACTTAATAAAATAAAACGAGAAGACACGATTAGAGAAAAAAAAGGATAAAAAGGAATGAGCAAAGTCTCCAAGAAATATGGGACTATGTGAAAAGACCTAATCTACGTTTGATAGATGAACCTGAATGTGACAAAGAGAATGAATTCAAGCTGGAAAATACGCTTCAGGGTATTATTCAGGAAAACTTTCCCAACCTGGCAAGGCAGGACAATATTCAACTCCAGGTAATACAGAGAACACCACAAAGATATTCCTCAAGAAGACCAACCTCAAGGCACATAATCGTCAAATTCACCAGGGTTGAAATGAAGGAGAAAATACTAAGGGCAGCCAGAGAGAAAGGTCAGGTTACCCACAAAGGGAAGCCTATCAGACTTACAGCAGATCTCTCAGCAGAAACCCTACAAGCCAGAAGAGCGTGGGGGCCAGTATTCAACATCCTTAAAGAAAAAACTTTCAACCCAGAATTTCACATCCAGCCAAACTAAGCTTCATAAGCAAAGGAAAAATAAAATCTTTTGTGAATAAGCAAGCACTCAGAGATTTCATCACCACCAGGCCTGCTTTACAAGAGCTTCTGAAAGAACCACTACACATAGAAAGGAACAAACAGTATCAGCCTTTCTAAAAAATACCAAAAATACCAAAAAGCAAAGAGCATCAACATAATGAAGAATTTACATCATCTAATGGGCAAAACAGGCAGCTAACATTAAATGGCAGTATTAAACTCACATATATTATTATTAAGTTTCCCAATAATAGTGGGAGACTCCAACATCAATATTAGACAGATCAATGAGACAGAAAATTAACAACAATATCCAGGACTTGAACTCAGATCCGGAACAAGTAAACTTAATTAACATTTTTAGAACTCTCCACTTTAAATACACAAAATACACACTCTTATCAGTATCACATCACACCTACTTACAGGCTTAAATGAAATATTGGTTGACTGCTTTTTTGCTATTTTCTTCCCTCATTTTTTTCATGTCTCCATTATTAAGCAGTTACAGGCATACCCATTTTTAGACTGCATTCTACCCCGGGCAATAAAGTAACACCCCCGTTCTCTCTCCCTCTTTCTCTTCCTCTTTCTTCCTCTCCTTCATTCTTTATTATTATTATTCTTTTTTTTTTTTCTTTTTTTTTTTTAATATTGGAACAAGCACTTTTAAAAACAAAAAGCAATGTGTTGATTCAAAATCTAAATTACATTGTATGCGGCAACCTTGGCAGACAGGCATTTTAGGCACTGTGACAAAATTCTAAATGGCAAAGAACTGCTTATCTTAATATAAAAATTTCCAGATATTCATATAGGGCCCTAACAAAAGTCATCAGAAATTAGACTGATTATATCAACTGGGACCAAAATTAAAAGAATATATGTTTCAATGGTCCAAATATGAACTTGGTGTTCAAAATTATTGGCAAGGGGCCACTACAGTGGATTTTGGTCTTTGAAGGCCATTTCACCACAAGTATTAGGTAAGTCAATACATCACTAAGGAAAAAGAAAGCATGCATATATTTCCTGGCAATAAAATCCACTCTTCACTATCCAGCACAGTATTTTTCAGAAATCCATTGGTAAAAATGTGAAATTAGAACCTGTTGTATTTCCCAAGAAGTGCTATTGAAGTTACTCCTAAAATATGAATCTATAAAGAGCAGCGTTTTTTTTGAAAAACAATACTATGCAGAAACAAACATGAAACTGGTATCACTGCTCAAATTACTATTTACAAATTACAAATTTAATCAAGTTAAATATTGTAAATATCTGCCATTAATCTGAACTGACAATTTTATGTTATATGAACCCTGAAGATTTTTAATAGACTGTTTTTGAAACTCAATTTTGCCAACAGCTCTGCAAATGACAATATGAAGAGATAAACCAGAGAGTTCTGAATATAATCTATGCTTCATAGTCAGCTTTCAACTAATTTATGAGTCCTAGTTTGACATAGCTTATTTGACAATTTAATCTATTGATAGCAAAAACAAAAGCAAACTAAAATCTCCTAAGTAGTCTCAGCTCTAAGGAACTATAATTTATGTTCTTCCACTCCAGATAAAATTAAGAAGCAAGAAGCTTTGATGACTACTCATCACAAATGTAAAAGTCCGTGCAATTTCATTTACCTTTGTACTTTCAAATAATTGCTTTTTAAAATAATAATCTGATATTAAATTCCCCCTAATATTTTTCACGTGATTCAAGATTATCTTACAACATCTTACTGTAACGACTTCAGAACTGCCACTTCCGATAGCTACTAGCCTGAAACCAAATAAGGCAGGAACAGCACTTTTCATTCACATAGTTAAAATAGTCCAGTGTAAAACTTCAAAAATAGACTTGGATGTCTTTTTCTATTTAAAAACAAAACAAAACTGGTACCTGGCAAAGTCAGGGTTCTGTTCGATTTTGGCCTGTGAAATGCCAGGCGGCCCGCGGGAGCCTGGCCCAGCAGCGTGGCAGCCGCGCAGGGAGGGCAAGCGGCGGGTGCGCCGCCGGGTGTACCCTCCCCGCCACCCGCCCGCGGCCCTGAGCCCCAATCCTCACCGAGGCGCACGGCGAAAAGCGCAGGCCTGGCGGGCCAGTTCCCACGCCCCGGGCCCGTTATCTGAGCCGCAACCCTGGCCGGGCCGACGCACAGAGCAGAGGGCTCGGGATGGCCCCGTCTCCTGGCTCTCGCGGGCTGCCCCGCCAGATAGCTCTCTCAGGGGCCCGCGCCTGGCGAGAGGCTGCCGTGGTTTCAGGCTTGCTCCCGGGACGGGATAAGGTGTCAGTGAGGCGGCCAGACGCCTCCCGTCGGCGGATGGGGGAGAAGCCAGCCCTGACCTCCTTCCGTTCGGCCCCTCATCGCGGCGCGGGGCGCAAACCTTCTGCTCCGGTTCTGGGCAGAGGCAGGGGCTGTCCCCGGAGAAGGCCGAAGGGGCGTGGAGGGGCTCTGGGCTCCGGTCACACCCTAACGTGGCAGGGTCGGGGTGGGAGGGGTGAGGTGAGGAGGGGAGGGGAGCCCGAACTTACCGGACTGCGCACTTCCCAGAGCCGCGGCCCCGGCCAGGCAGAGGCAGAGGCAGAGGCAAAGCGAGAGGGGGCGCGGGAGGGTCCGCCGCGGGCTCATGGAAAGGCCGAGCAGACGCCGCCGCTGTCCGAACCTCTCTCCCTCCCTCCCCGGCTCCGGGCGACGGACGGGGCGGCGGGAGGCATGACGGGAAATTCCTGGGCACGGGCCGCCGAGTCCAAATATGAGCATAGGAGAAGAGCGAGGGAGGACTGTGGAGCGCGCCGGCCGCGGACGGGGCCGGCTGCCCGGGGCTCCGCGGCCGCCAACTCCCTCCTCCTCCTCCTCCTCCTCCTCTAACGCCCCAGGGCTGCCGGCCGCCCTCCCAGGGGGCAGGCATCCCTTTCCAACTCGAGATCCCAGAGCAGAGCCACCTGGCGTGTTCCACCTGAGACCCCTTAAGGAGTGGGAGACGGACAAACCAACGCGAAGAGACCGGATAGCGAGCCGGTGGGAAGACGTGTCAGGGGTTGAGAGCGCTGGGGATGAGGGGATAAAAAGTTGTGGCAAATACTTCTCTAAGTGTGGGAGAGTACGGCAGGAGCAGCGCTGCCAGTTAGTGACTTGGCCATCCTGTAGATACGGAACAAGCACTCGCTGTAATACAGAGAACCAGCCTCCTGCGTTCCAGGTGAGCCGGCCCTCTCCAGCGGGGTGGGGGGAGTGTGTGTGTGTGTGTGCTTAGCCAGAATTGCGAAGGGGCTCATCCCAAACTTATATTTGAACATCGTACATGCAGCCCAGGTAGGCTGGCTGAATAATAGTTTTTCACAACAAAATGCTTAAGTTTTCACCGGTCTTTCTCTCCACCTCCAATCTATTCATCTCCACTCCCCACCCCCTCCACACACTAGTTTTGTATTTACTGTAGCTTGTCTAAAATGCAGTGCTGTAATTCATTCAGAAGGTGCCACCTCTGATGAACAAAATGTCTGTCCTAGATGTTTAATTACAGGCCCAAGCCTGTAGTTGCCTGTCTTTTCCTTGGCACTGATAACTCCTTGGGTAATCAAGTCCAAATGACCCTTAGCTTTCAAGACAACATAATTATGTCTTAATTACTATAATATATTTTTTCCCTCAAACTAATGGAGCCGGACCTGGAGATGTAGGATGTTAAGTAATTACTTATGAACATTTTAAGATGCTAAATACTACAGAAATGATTTATCGATCCAAAATACTTAAGGGGTAAATGTCAAACAGATTTAGAGTGTGGATTATTTCAACATAAACTAAAGTGATGGTAATTTGTAAATCACACTATTTGTTTGAAAATGCTATATCTGAAAATCAGAAACCTTGTTTCAAAACAAATTCAATTCTGGCAAAGTATTAAACACATAAGCCAAAAAACAGTCCATTCCAAGTGGCTCCCTTCAAAACATCTGGTGCTGAAAAACACCACATCCTGTGAATTACATATGGCAAATGGGCAAATTTCACCCAAATGGGCAGTTATAATGGGACTAAGGGTAGATGACCCAGATAAAGTAATGATAACTAAATTGTAGTGCAATGAATGAAGGATTTAAATGACACATAACATATGACTATTCAATTAGGTACCTAGAACCTAGGTAGTTGGAAAGAAATACTGAAGAAACTCTTCAGTATTCCCTCGGTTTCCTCTTTTTTTATAGCCTTGTGTTACATAACTGTCTGTTTTTCTACTTCCCCCACAACACCTTACAAAGTTCTTTGCCCATAGTCCAAATGTTTGTTTAAAAACAAAAATAAAATGAGCACAGCCATTTGTAGACCAGAATATAGGAGCTCCCTAAATGTAAAGCATGTTTCAAAGGATTGTAATAATTATGACTCTATTTTAAATATTTTAGTGAAGAACCTTACATACAGAAACACAAAATCATAAGGAATGCAATATCATTACAACCTAATTCATGTTAGTAAAAATAGAGAGTTCATTTTATCAACATAGTCGACATCACTGTCAGCAATGCCAACAGCTATTCTAAAGGCTTGAATAAATATACTAAGTGTGGCAAAAAAAAAAAAAAAAAAAAAGAACTGAAGTTCCTGAGTGCATGATAAGTGCCAGACACTGTGCTAGATGTTTTGTACCTGACATCTCATTTAATCCTGACAAATATCTCTGAGATTATTTTTATCCCTATTTTACAGCTCAGGATACTGAGGCACAGATAAATAATATGCTACCAGGAAGAGGTGAAGTAGTATCAGAATTAAATCCTCATTCTAAAGTGTATATATACTTTTACCATACTAATCTGTCTTATTTTCTCTACATTTAAAAAAAAAAAAAAAAAAGGTGGCATTCAACAACTGTATTCATTGGGCTCCTGTGGTTTTAAGTAACTGGTATGTGCTCGGGTTACCTCCAGTAAAGAATACACGTGGAAATAAGGCCAGAGGCTTACCTGGCTTGTCAGATCATCCTTTGTGGGCGTGGTGGGTGGGCCCTGTGCCTTTGATAGCTAGGGGAACAGGAAAGGTACCACCCTCTTGACCGCATTCCTGTGAGTTTTGTAATTTACTGATATTTTAATCATATATTTCACAATGCTTTTTAAATGTCTTCATTCTTATAGTCTTAGTAACAATCATATTACCATATTCCGTTCAACATATTGATTTTAAGGCAAAAGACCCAGAAGAGGTAGCTGCTTCTGCCTGCTTCCTACACCATCCCTCCCCCAACCTAGTGGTGTGCTGGTAAACATTTAACAACCAGATCTGGATGAAAGGGATAGAGGCCCTGATCTGCAGCATTAACCAATTCACATGGTATAAATACTCCCACCAACCAGATGTCTCTGAGGGCAGGGCTGGGAAGGGATGCACACAGCCAGTTCTCAGGGCCATAGAGCCAGCTCTGGCATACCACAGCTGCAACTCATGAAATGTCTTCAGAACACAGAATAATTCAAGTTGCACAACCACAGCTCTTTGTCTCTCTGCCTGTCTTTCCACTTCTGCTCCCACAACCAGGTGCCAAGTCTTTCCATATATCTCATAACCTGAGTCTGTCTCACAAGCCACTGAGCAGCCTATAGAATGGCCAGCCCTCAGCCAGGTGCAAGTTCTTCAGTTGTGGCTGAGATGGAGAGGTCACGTGCCAACAGAACATGGCCACCTATCCTAAAGAAACAGACTGTGTTGCTATCTTTTTATAGGGCTGTGCTTGGGGCAGCCTTTTTCAAACAGAAGTAAACATGACAGGCGTCCAAGCTGTAACCTCCCCAAGGTGCTCTTCTCAGCTCTTTAGCAAAATTCCCTCAGACAGTGCACAAAGCCTTGGAACAGCCCCCACTTCACATACCCCAAGAAACATTTTAGGTGGATGCCAATGACTGTAAAACAAGCGCCACTATTCTAAACCGATTAATACTCAATTGAAGAGTGAGAGTAATACCTCTGAATGGGATGTAATTCTTCAAACTACACTCAATACAAACTCCCCAAATTCTGCTTTTCTAGAGTGGGAAGTGGGTGGTTATTACCCTTACCCCTGAGAACACTGTTTTATACTGATAGAAGCATGCTTCCTGCCTCAGTGCGCTACAGTGGGAATAGGGTTAAGAACTGTTCTCAACAACGTGGGGGGCACACCATCAATACTGACCGGCCAAGGGAGATGCCTGAATTTTTCTCTCAGATTCTGAAAAATGATCTCCATTGCCATGACACTGTCCACCCCACAGTCACCAAGTGCGTTAACATAATAAGCACTCACTACCAGGAAATCAGGTGGGACTCCTAAGCAGAGAGAAGACCAAATTAACATGACCATTTTCCTTCTTTTCATAGTGAAGTGATTTGGCTGCATCTCCAATTACAGTATTTTCCGTTTGCCAAAGTTGAAGCTATCCCTTTTGTTGATTAATTCTGGAGAAAGTTGAAGTCTCTGTACTCCTGTGATTGACGTGGTGCCTGACTCTGCCAGATTTTGCCTTGGATATGCTGCAGTAAGTAATAAATATTTAACAAAGTCTTCCATATTATAAAGAATTAAGTAATCATCTCTAGACCAGCAAAACTGCTTGGTTTTGGCAAGGTTTTATAATATCAAGCGGAAGAGGCAAAATCAACTACACACCACACACACACACACACACACACACACACACACACTCACACACCCCAGGGCAATGGGAAGAATTAACATTTTAAATGATACAGAAGCATTCTGATAGGAGACTTGATTCTGCTCTTTATTTACTCAGTCTCTGTTCCTAAGTGCTTATTGTATTGCCAGCATCTCACCCTATGGGTGTGCATGTCCAATTCTAAAGGTGTGTATTTTTCAAACAACCTGGCCCTAAATTCAGATCAACTCTTTTATCCGTTGTTCAGCCAAAATGGCTACAATCTGGTCCAGTGGTAGAGGAAACTCTGGCTGTATTAGGTTTCCTGGAAAATGGCATGTTGCTCTCCAAAATGGTGCCTCAGGAGATTTTCACCCTACAAGCTGCTATTACAGCCCAATCACCACAAAGGAGTCAGGACCACTCAGGAGTCAGGGACTTGGGCTTTGGTATTAGACAAATCTATCCAAGTGTGGCTTCTACCATGAAAGCTGCGGACAGTGGACAAGAAACTTCTCTAAAGCCTTGATACTTCTGTCTATAAAATGGAAAAGTAAAGGTACCTACCACACTTGGTGCTTAGCACTGAACCCCATGCTAGCACATGGTAAGTCCTTAATACGTATCAACATAATCCTAATATTATTAATTTTTATCATTGCTTCCCAACTTTCAATCACTACAAAGTCACTCTTTGCCTTTAAAGCCTTATCTGATGATTTCCTCTGTCTTAAATGACTCATGATTCATAGTTTCTCTTCACAGCTCAGAGTCCCATGTTTGTATTCATGATTACCTCTTAAAGAAATCCGTTCAGATTTAGTAATCTCTTCAACACATTTTTCTTCAAAATTACTTTTTATATTTATATCTAAAGCTATTAACAGTAATTATTTTTATAATTATTTAAAATTTTTAACTCCCTCAAAGCAATACTATTAGAAGACTACACACACATTTAATGATTATTCAAACTATTTTGTGAAAAATCACTTTTAGAATTGCCATCAAAACATATGACGCAATTTAAAAAATATCTTTAACAGGAAAATCGTCTTTGCAGTCATTCATTCATTCACTCAGTTATTTACCAAATGCTTGCTATGTGCTAGGTAG